GAGTTTACAAAAAAAGAAATCATTATTCTATACATCCACAGATTTTCTAATCAGTCCAAATTCTACTGCTTTCCTTTTTCTTTTCCAAACTCCCCTCACAGGGTTGTTGTTGTGAGAGAAGAATTGGAGATCCCAAGGGAGTTTGGGCTCCTTGGAAGGAAAAAAGGGTGGGATATAAATGAATACATAAATAATAAATGTATCCACCACCTTCAGCACTGCATGACACTGGCTATCTGTTCCCATCCATACAGCAATCTCTGTTCTTCGGACCACTACCCCACATGAGGTGAACCTGGACAACTGCAGCTGTGGAGAGGGGCATCGCTGTGGTCCTCACTCTCCTCTCCAGTTTCTTCAATTCTGGCTCCGGTTGAGATATGCTTTCCCTTCACTTCCACAAAACCGTCCTGATAAAGCTAACCAAAATGAAATGGACTTGAGGTACTCTGTCTCGACCGTTGGGTGAGCCAAACCTCCACTTGCTCCGGGAAAAGGCAAAGCAGGGCTAGTTTGTGATGCTGCCCAGCTCAAACCCTGGAGAATTAGTGATGGCCGCAGGAGCCGGGGCGCAGGAAAGGATGGCAAAGGCAGCCATGCCGTCAGAAGGAACAGGCTGACATATTAACAAGGTGAATTTGAAATGGCTCTCTGACTACATCATGACCTCTGGAAGCCACCGCAGTGTTAACGTACCCGTGTGCATTTAGGCATACACGCATTGCTCAACCAATACTTTCCATAGCTTTTATCTTTGTTCTTTTCCTAAGACTGCATACGACACCGATCACACCTTGGCGAGAGAGGATTACACGAGAGAGTGGTGAACACAGCGTTCTTTTATGGACATGCTGCACTGTAACACAACCACCTCATAATGTCAAAATTGCCATAGTAACGGCTCATTTCTTATTGACTAGATGGATAAAAATGCACATAAGATACAAGCTCGGTAAGTTTGTACCCGGGAACTCGCCGCACACCCCCCCCCCCCCGCCACTGTCTCTCCCTATATAGGTGTGCCTCGCTCAACACTGCCTTCTCATTTTAAACTGCCCTCTCATTTTAAACTTAATTTGTTCGTGAAACAAGAGGTTCCAGCTGCTTTGTGTATTGGCTCTTAAAACAGGTTTTCTGTCCATTGAATGAAATCTTCATTCTTTATTCAGAAGCAAAATGGAGGCAAGGGATGCACCTGCAGCTCCTGGTGCTACCGATCAAAAGTCATTGTCCGGTGATTCTGCCTTTCCTTCTTTAGTGGATTTTCTTAAGATTAGACAAAAATATCAAAAAGTGGAGGGGAAACACAGGAGAGTCATGAATGACCTGCAAAATTCTGCAAATGAGGCAGAACCCAGAGACCCCAACCCTCTGTTTTGATCTTCACACCTTTAGCATGAGATCTTATGTTTGTGTAGGTGGGAAAAAATCCTACAGGTCCTGGGGAATTCCAGGAGTGTCCAGACTCTTGTCTGTCTAAACACGCATAGGATTTCTTTAAAGTCCTTTCTGCTCTTCCAAAACCTTGATTGCTATAGCCCTTCATCTTATAGCCGGGTACTCTAGAGCAATCTTCTCCAGCCAGTGCTCTCCAGACGCTACAACCTCAGCATTCCTAACCATTATCCACGCTGGCTGGGGCTACTGGATTGGATGTTTTCTACATTTAATTTGAGATGTTTAGGTTTTCACTGAGACAAGGCAGATCTAATTTAACTTCTGGCTTTTTCCGACCTTCAGGAATCTACAGACTGTCACACATTTTGACTTTTCTTTTCCACAAAATATACTGGAGAAATGCAAGGTGCCTCTGAACTGATCTGCAGCGACAAACCAGCTAAATTTACAGATATGTCAGAAAAGGGCAGGTTGGAAGAAACTGCCCGCCTGAACTGCCACCTTTCATACAGGCGTCCTTCATCAGAAGTAACCTAGCGTGGGATTGACCCAGTGCTTCCTATTGAAACATAAGCAATAAAGCATCAGCAGAGCTTTATGAAATCATTCTACAGGAAAGCTCATGTGGCATGGGTGTGAAGGAATACAAAGTGCTCTCATGCATGTTCAGGAAAAGCAGTAGGAGCGCTTACATCCATATATGCCCGGCTGCCCCCTGAGATCAGCGGGAGAGGCCCTTCTCCAGGAACCCTCCGTGAAGGAAATTAGGAGGGTGAGCACCTGAAGGAGGGCTTTCTCTGCGGTGGCGCCTAAGTTATGGAATGCGCTCCCCAGAGAGGTCCGCCTTGCGCCGTCATTTGTTTTTCGGCGCCAGGCGAAGACCTTTTTATTTAAGCAGCATTTTAACTGTTAGTATTACTTGATCTTATCTGGCCAGGGCAGCTTATTTTATATTGTATTTTTGTATTTTTAATGTTTATATTTATTGTAATTTATATTATAATTACTTTTATTTATTGTTGTAAGCCGCCCCGAGGCTTCGGCAAATGGGGCGGCATAAAAATGTTTTAATAAATAAATAAATAAATAAATAAAAGCATATTCCCAGTCCTCCTCCTCAGTTTCCAAGTCTTCCCTTTTGCAGAAGTTGGCCAGGCAAGGGAGAGACCCCGTCCTCCTGCAATTTAGGATAGCCCTGTGCGCCTTCGGAAGTGGATGTGTATTGCCGTGGGGGTCAGCAGCACAGGCCTTTGACCTGCACATACAGAGTGCTTCCAGACGAAGCTTTTCTGACCATGCCTCCTGACCACATCTTCTCCTGGTAGCCCCCCTGTGTCCTCCCACTGCTTCTTCCATCTTTTGCTTTACTCCTGAAAAATCATTAAGGGGTAGAAGAGCTCCACAAAAGATGCTCAGGTTGTGCAAAATGCTCAGGTACATTGCATGCTATGGACATGAATCACAAACAGCAAGTTAATTTTCTCTCTGGCTATATTTGTGGATATGATTTATGCGTTTAATATATTGATATCTGACCTCTCCTCCATGGAACTAAAGGCCGCAACATGTAATCCACCTGCACTGCCATTTTTATTCTCGTAACAATCCTTGATGGTAGGTTAGGCGGAGAGATCTTGGATGGCTCCAGGCCTCCCAAGGGAAGTGCCTCATTCTTGGGAACTCTGTGGAAGAGAAGGGGGAAGGTGCATCGTTCCATCCCAGCCCCTTTCACTCAGTTCCTTATGAGTTCTCCATATCTGGCAAACACAGAGAAATGTTAATGTTTCATTTTGTAAAGCACCGTGCCTTCACAAAATCTGTCTTCACATCCCACATTTGTTCTCTCCTTTAACAACAACGAATGAAATGCTCATGACAGGGATGTGCCTTGATTTACTGGTGGGCTATCACATGTCTGTCTGCCTCTGGCAGCCAAATGAAGCATCTTAGCCTGGGAGGGTCTCAGCATTTGTGTGTCAAAGTATTTTCTTTTGGGTGGGCTGGGCAGAGACAGAGCCCCGTCTGCCTACCCTCCCATTTAAGCAAATTCACTTACATGTACCGGCTAGGTTCACATGTCAGGGCAAGGTGGTTTCCACGGTTTTTGGCCTGGAAGGGCCTGACAGGTGACCAAGTGGCTTCTATGCTGGCATGGTTTCTGTCCTGCTCACTCAGTCGTCCCACTACTTGCCTGTAGCCACCAGGCCAGAAATCCAGTCCTATGTGAGATGGCTGGAATGCTGTTCCTCCCAGGGAAATCTGTGGTAGCTACATATTAGGCCTGTGGAAAATATCATGCCTTGTTCAGATGACCAGAGAAATCATGGTGACGCATGGAAACCAAAGAAGAGACCATAGTTTCTTATTGTGGTTTTTAAAAACCAACTGTACCATGACAGGGTTCCGATGACACAACAGACCATGGCTTGTTATGTCATGTGAACTCATCTACTATCTAGGGAAATCTAGGGTTGAGAACATGTGGAGAAATAAGACTCAGTATTATCATCGGCGGGAGAGGCCCTTCTCCGGGAGCCCCCCGTGAGAGAAATTAGGAGGGTGGCTACTCAGAGGAGGGCTTTCTCAGCGGTGGCGCCTAAGTTATGGAATGGGCTCCCCAGAGAGGTCCTCCTGGCGCCGTCGTTATTTGTTTTTCGGCGCCAGGCAAAGACCTTTTTATTTAAGCAACATTTTAAATGTTAATACTACTGAATTTTATCTGGCCAGGGCAGCTTATTTTATATTGTGTGTTTTAAATTATTATTCTATATGTATATTTTAATTTATGTGGTTTTATTTATTGTTGTAAGCCGCCCCAAGGCTTCGGCGAATGGGGCAGCATAAAAATGTTTTAATAAATAAATAAATAAATCATGGCAGGTGTGGATTTCACCCTAAAGCCCTACAGACAGACCCAAGTAACTTTTTAAGTAAGGTCTCTAGCAATGCAAAGTGAAGACGGGTGAGTTAATTTCCTCTTCCAGGGAGAGCTTAAAGTTCAACCTTTTATCATAGACCTAAATGATTCACTTCTTAATGTAAGAGTCTCCATGTCTTTTATGAGGGCAACCATTTCATCCCACATGCTTACTCATTTTATTTTATTTAAGAGTGGCTTTTCAAAACTTTGATCACAGATCATAATAAAATCTGTTACTGTTTTCTTTGCAAACATTTTTCTTCACTTTTATATATATTGCAACCATGCAGCCCTTACAGTAGCAATTACAGAAGTATTTTGTCATTAAATTCATTATAATCTGATGCATTCATTTTCAAAGTCTAGAAATATGGGAAGTGGGAAAAAAAAAACCCTGAACATTTTGTTTAGTGACAGGTTCCAGGAGAAAATTCACACAAGACATAATCTTGCAGACATGATTTGATAACTTTAATCTGCAAAGTGTCTACCATTAATGTGGATCATGCAAAAAAAGTGTTGCCTTTTATTAATAACCCAGCAATAGAAATCATCTCAGGAAAGAAGAAACCTATCACAATGGATGTCACTTTAAGTGTTAAAGGCACAATTGCATTTGTATGAGTGAGCACTGCAAAACTTTTTCCACAAAATGACTCTGAGATGGAATATGATATTGATGCATTATGAAGCAATACTTGGGGGCAGGGGGAAAATGTGTATTTTAATTGTGTCTGAAAGCATTGCAGTACTTTTGAAATTCCTTCATGATGCAAACAGTATTTTCAATCTGTAAATTGAGTTGTCCTTGCATTCACTGAATGTATACTATTTCCATATCAGATGGGCAGAAAGAATCCATTATTTTCAAGCATCTGCAGTTCCACACCATTGTCACAGTTGCAAAGATTCTCTGGAGAGGTCAAAGGTTCCTCCAACCTGTTGCAGAGCAGACAAAAGCCTGAATTTCAGGGGAACATTTCACTAGTACAATGCCCCAGCAAGTCCACTCATGCATCACATTTAAAAAATATGCTACTTCTACTAACCCCATTGGATAAACAAGGTACAGATCTAGTGTCAGCTCCCTAAATCAATAGGCTGAAATGTTTCCATTCAAGCCAGTATGCTACTCCAACATCTCCTTCCGGTGGTTAGAATCAAACATCCATCTTGTAATGGCAGGAAGCATGTCAGAACTGCATTTGATAATGCCAGTTCCTTCAAAAGTGGCCCAGAGAGAAAACAAGTATCATGAATAAAAGATCTTAGTTCGCAAGCGTTCAACTGCGACTGCTGTGGAATCCTCCGGAGGACCGGTCGCTCGCTCCTTCTCATCAGGATTGCCGTCGTTGGGTGGAAGACTGATACTATTTGGCTCACATGGACAACATCCGACTCCTCCTTTCCGGCTGTTTGACTGATACCGCAGGGAGGCACGGAAGTCTAGCGATAACACCACTAAACGGTACAGTTGCAACATCACGATTAAGATATTCTTAGCGGTGAAAAACACCAGCATCTGGTTAATGACTTTAAAATGGCCCATCAGTATCAAGCGCACAATAAGGAAAGGGCCATCCTGGATGAACAAGCTGATGCCGATGTTCCACAGGTCTGCGCTGTGTCTGCAGAGAAGCAAGCAGAAGATCCTCTTGGTTGTGACCGAGAGGCCACAGCCAACGTGCTGCACTGCAAAGAGAGGGCGTATTTTTTAGTTCATTCATTCGACATCCATACCACAGACCAAGTGAAATGGGACCTCCATAAAAAGCTGGAAGCAGAAGTTGGGAACAGGGGCTCTGCTTTTGTGCCTTGTCCACCACGTGGTTATCTTTGTGTCTTGTTTCCACCCAATCGCCTTGTTCTTTGACAGTGCAGAGAGACAGTGTGGTTAACCGCTGTGTGTTGCTCAAGGGATGTTGACGACCCTGGTGGGATCATTCCTACCTCGGCTTCTGAGCCAGTGCATTCCTCTCATTCTGTCCCTGCCACAGAGTCCCAGGCAAGACTGAGCAGGTGTTTGTTATTAATACGACACAAGGTTTATAGCCTACCTTCCTTCCCTTTGCAGGGACCCAAGGCAGCTGGCAAGGTTCTCCTCCCCTCATTTTATCCTCACGAGAACCCCATGAGTTCACTTGGGCTGAGAGTCCATGAATGGTCCCAAATCACCCTGTCAGCTTCAAGGCTGAGTGGATTCTAGAACCTGGATCTCCTGAGGATCAGTCCAACCGTCTAAGCATTCCAACATACAGTCTCTCAAGCCTTGTCTTGACTGGGGGTGCTCACGCTGTCTTGTCTTTACTTGTGGAGGCATATGGGATCCATCTTGCACCCTAAAAGGTACATCTCCATGGTTTTTGCTTTGGAAGTGCGGCAGCAGAGTTCGTAGTAGGATGAAGCCCACATGGTTTATGATGCCACCCCATGGGAGTGGCCCCCTACATGGGGGCTAGCATCATAGGTTGGCACGGTTGGACACCTGCTGAGGGACCAGAGCCCTGCCCACCACCCATTGGCAAGAGCCCCCTTGACCTGCCTTCCTTCCCCGTTGCAACCCGCTTGACCATCTGCCTCCCTGACTTTCCCTGGGACAGCCACCGGTCGCGTGATGGCAAAGCAGTGGCTACTGCGGCCGATTTTCGCAGGGATCTCTGCCTGGGTGGCAACAGCGAGGAAGAGAAAGAACAGCAGTGGCCACCATCAGCAGTGCCGTAAGATGAGTTTCGACCCCAGACCTCCTGGTCTCGCGGCACTGTTGCTCCTAGGGAAGGTGCTTTAGATGGCTGTGCATGACCCCAGTTGTGAAGCACACAAGTGCCATTGTGCTTTACCCCCAGCTGCCACTCCGTGGGATGGAGCACGCAGAGCAGCTTTGGCCCACACGCTGCATGTTCATGCGCCTGCTGGTGCAGAGACAGCTGGGTCTGGGAAAGCCTGTCCTGGTGCAACCTGTGAAGATACCAGCTCTTCCGTCGAGAGCAGCTTCACACCTCCCAGTGTTTGTGGCCCTCCAGATGTGCTCCTAACTTTCCACATCTCAGAGTCCAAAGATGCCACCTCGCATGCCTCCAAGGAGCTCTCCAGCAAAACCTGGGAAGGATGGTTCTGGGATAGTGAGTCTGGCTTCTCTCCCACAGGGTCGGCCCTACCACTGAGCAGAGTGAGGTGGCTGAACCGGGCAGAGGATGCTGCTGAACCCCTTCTCTGGCCTTCCGTGCTCCTGGGCTGGTGTACCTTGCCTGTGGCTGTCCGGGCTGATGCTTCCAGCTGCTTCCTCCCAATTCATCACACACAGCCCCCCTGGAAAGGCCCATGCCTGAGCAGTGGGGCAAAAAGCCTGCACCCTTCAACAAGCTCCATGAATGCACAAGCTTTGCTCTGCTCCCACGACACGCTCGGGCACCGCCTCTCTCTGCTCTGCAACCTTCCAAGTGGGCAGCAAGCCAGGGCTGCACAGATCCACATTTGCCTGGAAAGGACTTCTGGAAAGGACTTCTGGACAAGGGGAGCCCAGAGAAACAGGCTTCTCCCAGGCTTTAAGGCAGCCCTTTCCCATGGCTTATGTTTGTTTGGATTAAGCCAGAATGACCCCAGTTCCTCATGCTATCAGTTCCCAAGCGGTAGCCTTTGCTAGCAGCTCAAGTTGCTCAACACGGCCTTTGGTGACAGAGTCAATTTTCCACCAAATTCCCTCTGGGAATGCCTAGGTGCTCGAACACAGCGGGAAATGAGGAGAAACCCTTTTACATTCTTTACTTAAGCCCCCAGCAATGCTGACGGTTACTAACCTGCAAGATCCAAGGGAAACTGCAGCATGCTCCATGTCCACACTGCGAGAATTGCATACACGAGGGCATGCCTTTCCCTAAAACAAACATAAGCAAAGGGCATGGATGTATAAACAGTCCTTCCAAAGCATGGAGTCCAACTGGTGTGCTGAAAAAGTTATTTTTCAAGAAGGGCAGGAAATTATCACAGGCTGGAATTCATAGACTCCAGGGGTGGCAAGAAGGTCGGTGAAACTTCCTAAGATCAAAGAAACCATTTTCCTAATGATGGACAAAAACTTGTCAGAAAACAGTCCAGCCTGGAAACAAGATGTCTAGTTTAACTCTTTTTTTAAGCAAGCAAGCTTGCATACATATGCAGAACGCATTGACAATATCAGGATACAAGCGTTTAGTGGACATTTTGTGGATATATTATTTCTAGAGTGTTGACTTAAAACAAATACAAGAGTTTAAATGTTTTCTAGACAATCATGCTCAGATTCCCAAGATCAGGGTTGGCCTGCTAACATTTCAAGGGCTGCATCAAGCTTCTGGCCCAATTTTTCAGCCTTTTATTCCCCTTCTCAACTTCACTCAAGGGACACTGCTGCCTAGAGCAAGTTTCCAGTCCAGCCAGTGAGAAAATAATGTAAAGATTAATTAAATGTGGGAAACCTGAGAAAGGGGTAACGAGACCACCACCAGAAGGCATGGGTTTTGTTTGGGCATGTTTTATACAGGCCAGGATGTGAAATTCTTGAACAAAGGTATAATTCTCCTAATGGGTCTTCATACTGTCCAATCTAACCTTAACCATACATCAGGGCCTCACTGAAATCAATTTTAGATTTGCTAACAAATCTGCAGAATCCAAGTGCTGTAAATTTTTGTATGCTAGCATGAGGCATTCTGCCAAGAGATTCTGCCAAAACTCTTGAAGACCAATAGCTTGGATTCTTTCTTATTTAATCATCAGGAAACAAATATTTTCCAACCGAGCTTATCGAAACCACTATGGAGTGCAAAAATATTCCTTCTTCACAGTTCTGTTGTGCGCGATAGCAAACAACTGAATTTAAGTAATGAAGGCGTTACAACAGCCTGACATTGGCTTTGTTCACACATGGTGAGCAGGCCAGAGTGGCTTGATAACACCCCATGGGTGCTGGCTGGGTTTCTCTAATCATCCTTCCTTGGGTGCTTTGCCACATCGTCTGAATCTGGGTGCCGTGGCTGGCTTGAGGGGGAAGCAACCCTCAGATACTTTGGTCACCAGAAGATGCTGTCCATGGTTGGGTCCCAGTCCCTGTAGGGCAGGCACCTCCCTCTTGCCTCCCTCGAAGAGCTCACTTCCCCAGGGAAAAGGGGGATACTCTGTGTGGTTTTGCAGTGGTAGGAGCAGACAAAGAAATCCCTGACAGATTGCTGGGGAGAAGGACAGCTAATTTTTGCCGGAATTCTCCACTGCTTACTTGCAAAGGGCTGTTGCAATCAGGTCATTGCAGGTGTTGGTCATTAATTTCATTTCTTTACCACCTAGTATTTATTTATTATTTAGTCATTTATTTAAAGCTTTTCTATCCCGTCCCCTACAGAACGTCTCAGGATGGCTTACAATAAATAAGTAGAATAAAACAAACCTCACAGTGTCCGACCATTAATGTACTAAAAACCCGGTTAAAATTAATTAAACATTAAAATAATGGGAAAATAAAAAGAGTTTTGCCGGATGCTGAAAAGAATATAATGTTGGCACCAGGTGAACCTCTCTGGGGAGCATATTCAAATGTCGGGGTGCCACCACAGAGAAGGCCCTACTCCGGGTACTCTCCCTCCTAACCTCCTTCAAGGAGGGCTCCCAGAGCAGGGTCTCCGTTTCAGATTTCAAGGGGCGGGAGGACACATAGGGAAGAAGGTGCTCCTTCAGGTATTCCAAACCCAAGCCGTTTAGGCTTTATAGGTCATCACCAGCACCTTAAATTGGGACCAAACTTCAATTGGTAGCCAGTGAAACCAGTAGAGAACTGGCGTTATATGACCAATCCCTGTTAACATCCTGTCAGCTCTATTCTGAACCAATTTGAAGTCTCCAGACCATCTTCAAGGGCAGCCCCACGTAGAGCGCTTTCCAACGAGCCAACCGGGAAGTTACCAGGGCATGGGGCACCATTGCAAGGCAATGCTCATCCATAGCTGAGGCTGTCTGAGCAGTTAACAACTATCTAACCATGAGTAAATCCCACGGACGCCAAGTGAATAAGATAGTTGAAATTATCTTGGATGTACTACTACTTTTCCATAGGACTTAGGAATGACGAACTTCACTCTATTTTTTATTTACTTAGATTGATGGTTTTCATTTTCAAGGTGCTATCCAGCTGCTGTGTTTATTAAATTCAAAATTCTATTCGGGGAAATGCTGTCTATTCCATTCCTCCCAATGGCTTGAGGGCCATCTAGAATCTCCCTGAGATGTTCTCCAATGGCCGACACAGTGAAAGTAATAATAATTGAGATGATGATGATGATGATGATGATGATGATAATATAATTAAGATTCTCCTGTGTTACCTACCTTAGGTTTTCTATTTCCAGGGTCTCACTAGTGAATTCAAGTATATCTGCTGCAGTGCCCACAAACATAAGAAGTAGCTGAGACAATTGGTCCCGAGTGATTTCACCGCCAATAGGAAGAAGCCATCTCCCAATGATAAGGAGGAGTAGAAAGGTCTGGTGGAGACCGAGGGTCCAGACTGGGTCACACACTGTGGAAAGTGTGTTGACGAGAACTCGGGCCTGTTGCAAAGAGCCATGCAAAAGAAGAAGCAAGCGTCAGAAGTAGGGGAAAACACAAAAGAAAAATAGCAGGAGTAGCCATGGAGTTGTGGCACTAGGCCTCACTGGGCTGGAGAACCACGACTTTTTGATCGGAAGGGATGATGTCATTTGTGACCACCACCCTCCTTATTCTCCCCTGCAGTCTCCACAGAATATGAGGAAAATAAATTTCGCAGCAACAATACATGGTTGCAAGCTATTTGCAACTCATGTCAGTCCCATTATCTTTATCCCCCAAGGCAAGTGCCTGACCATATTTGGACCCTCCTCAGGGTTCTGCGGATTGTGACCATGGCTAGCTATTCTTCAAAATTTATTTCTACAACACTGTGAGGGAGGCTTCCTTGTTTTCAGAACTTTTAAAGAACTCCAACATTCTGTGTTCATCTCAACACTTCAACACAAGGTGTTGAATGGAAACTTTAGAACTCCAAGTCAGTTTCTTGCTTTTAGTGAGATGGGACACTTGCACAGAAGCTTTTACGAAGACAACTGTTCCTGAGTGCCCAAGAGACCACGTAGCATTATATGAGAGACGTTCCAGGAAGCTCTTCTGAAAACTATCTATCCATCACGACATCTACAGAGCCTCAAGCACAGACTGTTTGAAGACTTTTTAAAAAGTAGAATGAAGACATCCATTAGCCACCTCCTATATTTAAAAGATAAATAAAACCTCCATCCCACTCCCCAATGAGAAAGTTCTTCAGAATTCTCTCCAGCCTCTTTCACTGAAGTATTTTCTTTGCCCTCACCAATTGCCAAAAAAGACAGACTTAGAACATTTGGCACAGCCCTGATGTGAAATTTGACAGCATGTGACTTTCCTCTGTTCTGAGTCCATCAGCTCTAGCTCAGCCCTGCCAGCTTCAGCTGACAGTGGCCCTTAATCACGAAGGCCAAGCTCGTCAGAGACTAGCAGCTGATCCATGTGAAATGGCGCTACTCGTTCATTTGGATGGGCAGACTGGCCTGGTGTGGACATGATGCTAAGCCATGGTTTAGGGCTAAAAATAAGGCTATCCTTCCCATGGGATCATGCACGCCCCTCCTCCATCTCTAGCATGGATCATTCAGCAGTTTGAATGCATTTTAGATTAATGAAGCCTTGCCTTGTTATCCAAACTGAACAAACCAGTTAATGTTAACTATGGTTAGTGAAAGCAAAGCAACATTGAACCATTATTTGTGAATCTCTCTTTTTCACTAACCATCATTGAGATTAACCATTGTTTGGGATTAACCATAGTTAACTTTGCTAGTTAACTAACACATCACCAATTCACTGTGTTTTGGGGATAGGAATTCTTCGGATTTCCTCCGCTCAGCTCTCCAAAATCTGGCCCACCCTTTCTCTATTCCAAGTCTGCCTTGTGCCAAGATTTCCATGGGCACCTGGCAGGTAGCAAGCACAAGCAGAGTTCTGCTTTTGCACACATGACTTGCAGGCTTTATGTACTTTGCGCAAAGAATCGTGCGATGCGCATATTTTGCACAAAGAAGTCATTCCTGTTTCCAGGCGTTTGCAGACTTGATCTCAGCTTGCCCCACTTCCTGGTCAGGCGGAGTGTGGGAAAGGAGTCCCGCAAGCACAAGAGAGCTCAGTTCCAGCCTGACCTCCACATCCCCATGCTTAAGCTTAACTATGGCTAAGACAGTGTACGAGACTAGCTTTAATTTAGAATGGAAGAAGGTGATCCTGATCTCCTCAAAGCCACCCCAGCAAGTGAGTGAGTGTGCTGGAGACCAGTGGGAGGCTGGGCTGGTGGTCCAGTGCAAGAATGAGCAACATGGCATCTGCCAGATGTCTTGGCCCAACTTGTGCCATCATGGGTTATCCTGGGTAAGGCTGAGGGCTGTTGTAGGCCAAAACATCTGGAGAGCCACAAGTTGCCTACCCCTGATTTGGTGTCATATCCAAACCCAGCCATTCATATTCCTTGCATTTGTGTATTTGGGCCTTTTAGAAGCACTTGCATAATAGAATCCAAGCCATTTCAAGTATCTGCATTTCAAGAATTAACGGTAGATGCACGTTCATAGACAGCAAAGCAAAAATGACCTCACCTTCTCTATTATATGTGTGTCAATGGCCTCGCTTTGATTTTTTTCACTGATATTCTGCACAAGCTGTTCCTCATTCAGGCAAAGCTACAATTTAAAAAATCAGTAATATATATATGGGGGGGGGAGAGAGAGAGAGGTAGACATTAATTAAAATAACTCATAATGTCAACATACTCCATTTAATAGGGTCACAAAAGATCCTTGCCTTTGTTTCTGCCAGCTAATCATGTGCAACCAATAAGACCTTTAAACTTCCATCCAAGTCAAAAGATGCATGCACCCAATTCAACGGGTGAATTGCAAGGCGAAGCCTCACAGCCTCTCTAGGGTCCTGGTTCCATTGCTGGGTCAAAAGAGCCTTGAACTAAGCATTACCCTTACCTTACCTGGGAAGTCGATTATACCACGAAAGGTGAGGTGGCTATAGCCCACCGCCAGTTCCAGGCCTGCTGTTCCTTCATCCACCCCCACTCATACCTCATCTCACCAACATATTTACTGGAATCCGAATCCAGACAAGCCTATTATTTATTCATTATCTGTGTATCCCAGCTCTTTTCTTTCCAATGGACTCAAGGCAGCTTACATCATGTCCCCCTCTTCTCAACCTTGTCTCACAACAACAACGTTCCTGTGAGGGAGGCTGGACTGAGAGCCTGTGACTGGCCCAAAGTCACCCAGTTGGCTCCATGGCTGAGCGGGGACTAGAACCCGGATGGCCTGAGTCCCCGTCCCACGCTCTTAGCCCCTGCGCCACGGCTGGACCACTGATTGCCAAGTACTCTCAGCCATCACTGTCCTTTCAGAAGCAGCCCTAACACTTTGGCAGCAGACCAGCTGGCTCCTCTGCCCATCCCTTGCAGCTTTGAGGGGCTGCACTTCTGCACTGGCCACCGGGAAAGCAGCTTCTGCTGGACGTGAAGGCAGAATGCCAGCTTCTGGCAGGCTCTGCAGGGATGCAGTTCTCTCCTCCGGCCACTCGCCACCGGTCCTTTCCCAAAGCATTGGCCTCCTAAGAGAGTCACCCATTGCACCTCACTGCAACGGGGCCAGTCCTGCGGCAGAAGAGGGGAGAGCATGCCTGGCAGTCTGGTGGTGCTGAGGAGGCCCCGGAAAACACCTTGGCCAGAGCCCCTCAAAGCAAGCTGCTTCCTTGCACTGCTCTGCCGGCTTTGTGAACTGAGATGCCGCACAAAGAGATCGGATGATAGGAATGATCACAAAAGATGCGCACTGGAGGCTATGGACACTCTCTCCTCTTACGCTTTTGGTGAGGGGAACTGTTGCACCGTGCTCAGATGGAACGAGAAGCCCCAAACCTTGGGGCAACCACCTAATGGTGCATCTACTCCCCTGTGCTGGAGGGGAAACAGTGGGCTAGAGGCATCCCCACGTGGGTTCCTCCTCCAGGGATTCTGCAGCGGCTGCCGCAAATGCATGCGTGCGACCGGCCGCTGTGAATCGCTGCAGATCAGTGAGGCGTGTTTTTCATTCATACATTGTGAGGGATGAGCAGAGAGTTTAGGATGAGCAGAGAGTTTCTTGAGAGCAGGACAGCACCCCTCTGTGCCAGGAATCACAAAAAGTATGCTCAGAAGCTGAGTTTGACTCACAGCATTGCTAACAATGGGCCTAGAGGAGGCCATAAAACTCTAAACTGGAAACTGGATCTGATTTCACAACTGCTCTTCCTAACAATGTCTCATTTCAGGCCAATAAAAAAAGGATAATGCCAGAATTTTGATTGAGTTGTACACAAATGAATATTTTGTTCCTCCCATGTTTTTTCCCCAAACACAACAGATGGTCTACAGTGCAACTCATTCCTCTCTCACCCTTCTAATGTTTGCCTGCAATACGCTTTAGGAAAAGAGGTAGATGCCAAAAACTAAGAAAGTGAAGGTGCGATCCTATGTACATTTATGGAGAAATGAAGTCCCAGTGGGACCTTTCTTTCTGTCTAAATGTACATAGGATTGTACCCTTCAGCTGCAATCCTATACCCACTTACCTGACTGACTATAGGTAAGTGCCTGACTATTCTCCATGGGTGTTGTTTTTGAGCAATCATATATGGACTGTGTTGCCATGCAAGGCACACTTATCTGGGAATAAGCCCCACTGAATGAGTGGGTGTTAGTTCTGGTGGGGTAGGCATGGGGTTGCACTGTCCAGCTGTGACTGTCAGGAGCTGGGGTTCCTCCTTCACTCACGCAAAGCCACCAACCTTTTCTGGCAAAGCGTTCTTTATTGGCCAAAGCACACAAACACCCAGAATGGATCTCTGAGCTTGCACAGAGTGGTTAGTTGAACCCATCTAGTATTCACCTCCAGAAACTCTCCGTACGAGCATGCCTGGACCCCATCTTCTTGGGAGGGACCTTCTGGAAATGAACACGCCTCCTCCCTCTGCGCCAGTCCTCTAATTGGGCCACCTTCCTCTGCTGAGAATGGGTCACGGGGTCAAGAGCTGAGGCCACCTCACCTGAGTCTGAGGAACTCCTCAGGTCCAAGTCCCCTCCCTCCAGTTGTGCATCTTGGTTATTCCCAGAGACAGCCTGCCCACCTGGTGAGACCAGCCTTGAGATAAGCATCTCTGCGTCCTCATCTCAGAATCTTGGGGTGGCCCAAATTCCCAGGCCCCCTCCTGTGCCTTTCCTTCTTCTGATTCTTCTGGACATCAGTCCTGGATCCCAAGAGAGCCATCTGCCTCACCCCGAGCAGTGACCAGGACATCTCTAGTCACAGTCTCAATGCTGCCATAGATTCACTGGGTCACCTAGACCAGCAGTCATTTCTCAGCCTTATCTTCCCTTCTGCAATCACGGGATGATAAAATCCAACCGACCTCACAGGTAGGATTACTCAGATAACACGTGTGCAGCAGTCTGAAAACCAAGGTGCTGTGTATTTGCAGTGTATGAAGGGACTTTGCCTGCAGAGGTTTGTGACGTATGTCCCGACAATGGCATGAGAGTCCAAGTAGTGAGAAGAACATCAGAAGAGTCATCTTGCATCCGGCCAAAGCTCTTTCTAGAGCAGCCTCCTTTTTCCACAGTGGACAACCAGATACCCTCCGGATGTCCAAGAGCACGACTATTCAGAATAAGTCTCATCCGCTAACTTCATAAAGACTAATTGCACAATCCCTCATGTTTGCTTAGAAATATTCATTAAGTTCAGCAGGGCTTATTCCCAAGAAAGTGGTATAAAATTATGACCGTCACAATTCCCTTTGGCTCTGGCTGAGTTGATATGTTGAACGAGGGCTGCACGTTACCAGGCAGTCTGGAAATAAGTGCTACGTGATACCTTCCAGCCAGCACTCTCAGGTAAGCCAGGCGTGATGGTATCTCTTTCACACACGCACTTTCTTTCATATGCATGACTTGTGTGATGTTCGGATGAGGGAGCCTGCACCTGTGGACCAGCTTGAAAAGGGTTTGCTAAGAAACCTCTCTCTGTGCAATGCATAAAGAGTTTTGGAAACTTTCACTGTTCTGCACTAGAGGAAGATAATTTTATACTGCCAAAAGCAGGAGCTTCTTCTCTGAGGGTTCATCCCCTCCATTTACTAGGAAAAGCTACTCAATCGGGCTTCAATTGGCTTTTTTAAAACTCTAGAATGTCATCTAAAATTTATCTCCTGGTTTGTTAATATAAAGACTACCTGTCTCTTTCTGAGTTCACTGGTCAAACGAGCCCAAGGATCCCCTCAGTTGAAAAACACTTCTAAAAGCAGCTGGATTTGCTCTTTCTTCCTGCTCCAACCTATTGATGATCAGTTCTGGATTATAGACTATGGTTGTATTGCTGGGAGAAAGCCAGTGACACAGTCATTAGATATCTCTCCAGATGTGTTTTATTATAGATCCATTATCTACTTTGTGGCACTGTATTCATATACAGTCTGTACCATACCAAAGAGCAGTGTTGCAGGTTAACCATACGGAGAAATCAACCCTAACTGATCTTTAGGAGGACAGATGAAGCTGAAGCTCAAATACTTTGGCCACCTAATGAGAAGGAAGGACTCCCTGGAGAAGAGCCTGATGCTGGGAAGAACTGACAGCAGAAGGAGAAGGGGACGGCAGAGGTTGAGGTGGCTGGCTGGAGTCACTGGGGCAGCGGGTGTGGGCTTGGGTGGACTCCGGGGGATGGTGGAGGACAGGAAGGCCTGGAGGAATGTTGTCCATGGGGTCACGAAAAGTTGGACACAACTTTGTGACTGAACAACAACAAAAGCCATCTTCACTTGTCACTCCTGGGGAAAGCTTTCCTGTGAAGGACAAGCTGAACTCAAGAGCTGCCTCTGCCACACACCTAAAAAGTGTCTGCACATTGAGCATGGGCATCTAAAGAAGTATTCTTAGTAGTATTTAATGGGATGGGATTAGCTCTGTCTTTCTTTGTCAGGGAAAGGGCCAACAGCACTGCTCGCCACTCCTCCTCCTACGCAGACAAGTCCTCCACAAAATTAACATTGGACAGCGCTTAATATAATCAGCAGTTATGTTCTATTATTGAATATGTTCCTATCTCTTGTGTGCAGGTAGATATGGACTGTATCCGGTACCGGCATTTTGCTACCTCTAAGCACGTTGCTCGAGCAGGAACTTCTTGTGCTACAGAAAACTAGGGCAAACTCGGAGACAAGCTGAAACCTCCATTTTGGAACAGGATGAGTCAGCAGAGCCCCTTCAGAGAAGTCATCGTTTGGCTAGTGTCCAGTTGTGCTGGCCAGCACTAGAAGGCATGTCTGCTCGTGCATTGGAAGTACAGTAAACTTGATTCATTTACGAGGTTATAAAATGCACCCTTTTCTCTGCCCGCTCATTTCTATTATTAACAGCATGACATATATTTTGAAACACATAATAAATTAGTATTCTGTTGAATACACTGCATTTGTATCCCAACTTTTTCCTCTTGTAAAGGAAGCCATTCATAACATCATTTATCCTCCCAACAACCACTCTGTGGGGAAGGTTGAGCTGAGACTGACCCAAAGTCATCCAAGGAACTTCTTGGCTGAATGGGACTGCTCTAACCTGGATCTCCCATGTCCCCGGTCCAACATGCTCACCAGCACTGGCTTTCTTTGCAAAGCAGCATGGGTCTACTGCTATGCAACGTGGGTAAACCATGAGCAGGGCATCATTTGGGGCACAAGGGGCCCCTGTGGGGCAGAGCAGGAGGCTAATTTAATCTCTACCCCCACTGCTGAATGTTCTCAGTCCTTCTCCTCCAGTACTCAGTACAGCATAGCTGCCTACAAAACTAGTGGAGACAAGTACATCAGATCTGCTGGCTGATCCCTCGTCTTAATTTTCAGGGTTTTTCCTCCTGTTGTGAATGTGTCTAGAAGCTTGTGGACCATTTACAAAGAAAAGCAACCCTCTGGGTCTTGTTTCATTACAAAATAAACTGTCTGGCTAGGACCGCGATTCCTTTCTTGGAGCGCAACCACTGGGACTTATTTCCACGGAAGCATGCCTAGGATAAGATGGTCACTCTCCTGTGGATGCAGAACAGTCACTCTCTGCATGCCTTCTTGAGAGCCAGAACAGCAGAGATGGAATTAGGTGGTGGCCCATTTGGGTGGAACCCCGAACCTTTCACCTGGAGCTCCAGAATTCTGGGAGGCTGCCTGCCCCACCTGCTGAAGCAAAGGGCCAGGAGCTCTGAACATTTCTGTGGCATCTGATTCGGCTGGATTCACTGCTTTTGCGCTCATACGTGCTTCGCCTCCTGTTCCCACCTCACCACCCCTTGCCTGAATTGTCTTTTCCTAGAAATAAATGCTCTCTTTCCCCCTGCAGGTTCACACATGCCTTTTTACAAATAGGCAGGAGTCCTTTACAAATAGGCAGTGCCCTTTAACGAGACACACAGAGCTAAACAGGAACGGGAGACAAAGCCATAAGAGGAGAGATTGAAGGAACTGGGCATGTGTAGCCTGGAGAACAGAAGTCTGAGGAAGAGATGATAGCAGCCTGCGAGTACTTGAAAGACGGTCACAAAAAGGAAGGACAGGACCTCTTCTTGATTATCCCAGACTGCAGGACAGGGAGCAACAGGCTCAAGTTACAGGAAGCCAGATTCTGGCTAGATATAGGAAAAGTTTCCTGTTAGAGCAATATGACAATGGAACCAATTCCCCTGGGAGGCTGTGGGCTCTCCCATGCTGGAGGCATTCAGGATGGAGCCAGATAGCCGTTCAGACGGATGCTTTAACTTGGAGTCCTGTCCTTCCGGCCCATTCCAACTCTACTATTCTAGGGTTCTATGAAGGCAGACATGATGCTAATTTCATACCAAGACGCAGTGTCTCACTTTAATCTTTACTCTAGAGTAGATGCAGGGCAGCCCTGCTGTGCTGTGGAGTGGGGCCCTAGCATGTAGGGGGTAGCCTATTTTAACCCTTTCCCCCCTGCCATGCACTTGGCTCCTTATGCCTACTCTATTGAAAAAATGATGTAGTTGCTAGATACAAATCTAAAGCAACATCTGTTCTGGCCTGCAGGTTTTAAAACAGAGACTGAAATATATGAAGCATACCTGGGAGCAAGTCCACTGAAATAAATGGGGCTTGCTTCTGAATAGGATCACACGATTCGGCGATATTCTGCACACTTATGTAGGAGAAAGCCCTGCTGAACACTCTGGAACTTCCTTCTAAGTAAACAACTGCAGGATTATAACTGCAATGTGCCTGCTTGTGCGACCTCAGTGTATTGGCCCAAACATTAATGGAATGTCACACAATTACGTTCCAGGTCTTTACTGCCGTATCAAACATAAACGACGACCAAGGGAAATGACATTAATGCAATCATAACTGATCATGTATAATAAAAGAGGGGAAAGAAGAAATGTAAATGAAACACAAATTGCCATTTTTAGTGGTATTCAAACAAGTGATGGTGTATGAAAAACTCTAGCATGCTACAGGGGATGGAGTGGCATTTCCGTGACGTGATATAACCACATGCAAACGCCTTTCTGGCTTGGGAACCTGTTTAAGTCATTCTGTATGAACAGACGGTCTGCTCTCGCAACCAGTGACTTTGGCAGTTTATGACTGGTAATTGTCAATATCACTTGGAAAGTAATAGAAACTTAACAAATATTTCTAATTTGCCATTCGGTTCGCTCATAGTTCCTTCCCATAACCAGTGCTGTATATAATAAAACAAGCAAAACATATAAAATGTAACAATCCTAGATTCTGTGTTAATAAAAACTGGGCATTGTAGCCTTTATGGATCATGCAAATTGAGCATATTTACATAATTTCTTTTACTCAGCATCAGTTAACTGGCACCATTTGTAGTTTATGAGATTTACTATTTGCAATTTTCATTTGTGGATTCTGAAAGGTAAAGCAACAAATACATTTATCATGAGCCTCACAGTTATCAAAAATTTTGATAACCCGGAAAGGGAATCCAAAGGACCCAAATCCGCCCCCCACATTAAAAATAGAATACTTAATTCAATAACAGACAAATCTGCAATCTTTTTATAGTGACAAATTCTCTGCCAGAAGCAGCTTGGCTCTCTTTAACTATAAGTAACACCGGCTCCATCTGGATCCATCCCTATTGATTGTATGGCATAAAAATGTTTTAATAAATAAATAAATAAATAAATAAATAAAAATCCAACGATACCTGATTCTGAGGATGAAGTTCCAGAAGCCACAGTGAGGGTACAATGCTAATCAGATAGATAAATATTGCCGGGGAAAACCTGGGAAGGAAAAAGGAAACTAAGCTTAGCACACATAGCAAGAATTGCATAGCCAATGAGTTTCCTCTGTCAAAATATGGCAGAAGTAAATTGAATAGAAATTATGTGAGACATATGTATAATAATAAAACAATATGCTTCTGCCCGTCATCCCCATAGAAGCAAGATGATGAAATTGCAACATCTGAATTTGGCATGGATGCTACCAGCACGATCCAATGAGGTTGCCCATAACCCTCTAAATGTGGACGATTAAAGGCACCCTAGGAGTCAGGCAGGAACAAAGGGCACCTCTGCATTTCTCCTGCCCTGCAAAAGGCTTAGAAGGCCAATTTTGTGTTTTGCCTGTAAGATGAGAAGATGAGGCTGAGATACCTACAGGATACTTCCTGGGTTGGCAGCAGCTGTCCCCTCCATTCTCCAGTCCCCCATTGCCCCCAAAAGTCCATCCCCAAAGTTGTTCTTGTAGAGTCTCCCGACACACTTCCCTTCAGCGGCTGTGAGGGTACAAGAAGCGTTCCCTGAGGCTGGAGTGCCAGCTCCAAGCTTGGACTAATTTTCTGAGGCCAGAGAGGGCACTTCAGAAAATCCTACAGATATCTAGGCTCTGTCTAGTGGCCGTCATTATTTGTTTTTTGGCGCCAGGTGAAGACCTTCTTATTAAAACGTCATTTTAAGTGTTAACAATATTTACTTATTTATCTGGCCAGGGCGACTTCTTTTCTTTTCTTTTCTTTTCTTTTCTTTTCTTTTCTTTTCTTTTCTTTTTTCTTTTATAACTTCTTTTATATCGTGTGTGTGTGTGTGTGTGTGTGTGTATAATTTTAATTTTATATTGTTATTTTTGTATTGTATTGTATTTTCTTGTGTTGTAAGCTGCCCCGAGGCTTCGGCAAGAGGCGGCATAGAAATGTTCTAATAATAATAATGATGATGATGATGATGATGATGATGATGATGATGCATCATAAAACATGTTAGGGATGTGCCGCTGAAAGTTATTTGCCTGCAGGACCAAAGTATTTGCTATCTGTCTTTGAGGCCTGTATTACCTCACACAACCACTAGGACCTTCCTATGGTGCAGGTTTGCAATTGTTATGGTTTGAAGAAGGGAGCATCTGATGGTTAGATTCTAACCCTAATGCTAACCCTCCCCCTGCTGTGGGGAAGCCCTCTCAGGGCATTGGGATGGACAGACCCCTCCATCAGGGCGATAAGGGGATGCTCCAGCGGAGAGACCATGCGTAGGGGTGTCAGCAGGTGTGGCAGCTTCCAGGTGGAACAATTACCATGGGTCCAACTCTGACAGCAGTGGAAGTTTGCTTGAATGTGTCACTCTCTGAACCAGAGGGCTGCTCCCATCCATACAAAGCCAGGTCCATTTGCTAGTAGAATGTTAAAGAAACTCTGGAGTCAGTTCCTATCTAGGTCCCATGCGAAATATCTTCCCTTCACTGCACACCAAAAATTCATTCAGGACAGGCCAATTTCAATGGCCAGCAGCATTGTGTACTACCTTCTCCATCATCTGTTATGATGATGCAAGACTCCAGATGAGCTACTAGGCAGGTGGCTAGAGAATAGGATGCAGTGAAAACAGGCCTGGAAAACTTCTGCTCTCTCGCCTCCCTGGAGAACTCAAAGGACCAGTGCACATTTCTGGACTGCAAGTTCAAATCAGAGATAAAGAGCAACATTTGGAAACTCCCATACTTTTAACTCCAGAATTAGCTCAATGTTCCTCTTGTTAAGTTAAAAAAATGAGCAGGAGACAATGGAAAGATGATGACCACTCATTCCGGGGATCTCCAACACAGGGCCTGGGGCGCTGCCATACCAATGGAAGCCTCCAACACCCAAGATATTCTCCACTCCCCCTCCTCCCCCACTTTGAAAATAGTTTTAAACAAAAGGCTTGAAAGTATTAGGTCAGTCTTGTGACTGAGGAGGAGCAGCACCAGTAAGCAAGAAGGGCTTTGGAATTGCTGTCGATCATAAGCTGAATATGAGTCAACCATGTGATGTGGCTGCACAAAGGGTAAATGCTATTTTGGGCTGCTTTAACAGAAGTATTACTTCCAGTTCATGTGAAGTGCTAGTTTCCGTCTACTCAGCAATGGTTTGGTCTCGTCTTGCCTTTTGTGACCAGTTATGGACACCACAGTTTAAGAAGGATGAAGCCAAAAGGGAAAGTTTCAGAGGAGGGAAATAAAGAAGATCAGGGACTGGAAACAAGGCCTTATGAGGAGAAGCTGGAAGAACTGAGTATGTTTAGTCTTGAGCAGAAAAGACTAAGGGGAGATATACTATGCTTGGAGTGCTTGAAGAGCTGTCACACAGAGGAGGGCCAGGATCTCTCCTCGATCATCCCAAAGTGCATGACATGGAATAATAGGCTCAAGTTACAGGAAGCCAGGTTCCAGTGGGACATCAAGAATTTCCTGACTGCAATACGACAATGAAGCCGATGACCGGAGGAGGCTACGGGTTCTCCCACACGGCTTTCCGCCCCTTCCAGCCCTTCGCCTTACCCTTTCCCCCACCTTCCCAGCCCCTCGCTTCAGTATCTTCAACCCATCACACAAAGATCTCTTTTGCTCAGTGACTCTCCTTGACCCACCTGTGGCCTAGCTCTTTCGCTAACCCTTTGACTTGCTGCTCGCCCTCTCTTGAGCCTATAGCTTTCCCCTTTCTTTCCCCACCTTTTCCCCTTGCTCTTGCTGCCCCCTTCCTGGCCTTTAGCCTTGCTAGTTCTCTCCCCCACAAGACCACTACCACTTTACCTTATTTTTGACTAGCCATTTTATAACCAACCACATCTTCTGGGGGATCCATCGTGTGGTGGCACCCACAGGCCCAGAAAGCTCAGAATCTGACTTACTGCCGTGTTTCCCCAAAAATAAGACCAGGTCTTATATTAATTTTTGCTCCAAAAGATGCACTAGGGCTTATTTTCAGGTGATATCTTATTTTTTCATGTATAAAAATCTATATTCATGTGCAAAAATGTACATTTATTCAAATACAGTCATGTCATCTTCTTCTGGAACATCGTCATAACTCTCCAAACCCCGGATTGTGTTGCAACAGACATACTAAATGTGTCCGTCTGGCTGGCTATCTTAACTGGGGCTTATTTTTGGGGTGGGGCTTATATTACAAGCGACCTGAAAAATCATGCTTGGGCTTATTTTCCAGCTAGGTCTGATTTCCGGGGGAACAGGGTATATTCCTCTATATAGACTGTTCTTTTCTCTTTCTTCAGCCTGTCAATAGGAAGCAATCAAATCGGACTGCTGAAATTTAAAGCAGGTGTACAGGCTGAGAAGCGGTGGATGCTGGGAAGATGTGTTGTGCAAGCTCAGCAAAGTCGCTGCGCAGGGACGGCGACCGCCCTGCTACGATCGCAATGTGTGGAAAACGCTTCCAGCTGGCCTGAAGCAGCAGCTGCTGATCTCACAGAGGCCTTGCGCCAGCGACTGGGCTCAAGCCACCTCTTTGAAAGAAAGCGCCTCGAGGAAACATTCTTGTCCAGCCCTGGGGCTTTCCTTCCTCCCAACTCCTTGCATCAAAAAGGGACACATCACGATTTCAGGGTTGCCGTTTCAGAAGGGGAGTGACCTGAAATGAAGGCACAGCGAGCACATGGGCATGTGCAGGTCCAGCAAGGCATTGGTGTAGAAGTGGAAAGCAGAGGGGTGTTGCGCCTCCACTGCCTCCCCACCCCGGGCAACAGGGTCAACGGCATCAGGACTGGGCCCAGGGCCGGTTCCCACCCAATGCCATCCTCTGGTGTGGGAGATGGTTAAATCTTTGCGCTCAGGGATTCTGCAGATGCGCAGGCTACAGCCATCCTTTTGCCCTGGTCTATCCCACTTTCTTAGGGGTATCATAAGCTGTGCCCCTTTCCCACTTGCTTCATCCCACAGAATGCATAGCATAAGCTTTGGGTTAGGGTGCATCATCTTTGGGGGCCCAAGCGTTCTACCTAGTGTGGGTTGAGCGTCCACATAGATGAGTGTACACAGACCTGTGCACACACTCGCTCACAGGCACACATGTACACACATACATTCATGCACAGGCGATGCTTTGGGACTGCTCATCTGATATCAGTGGAAGCAGCCATCCAGGCAGCTTTGAGGTCACTAAGGGGGGATTGAATATGAGATGGATGGACGCCATGAAGCAAGCCACAGCCTTGATCTGAGAAGGGCTGAACGGAGGTGTTAAGGACAGGACATTTTGGTGGTCCCTCTGTGATGGGGGTCATCATAAGTCAGAGACAACCAGATGGCACATAACAACAACAAGGGGAGGGAATCCTAGTCCCCACCCGACCAAGACTGCTGCAAAAGACAGCAGGAATGGTCCTACCAGTAAACAGAGACAGGCAACCACCTCCAGTGGCACATATTGGGGAGCAGCCAGAACAGCCCTGAGCCAGTCTTCTGAGTCCCCCGGACATTACCATCCTCTTGAACCAGTACCCCAAAAACAGGAATGCTTGCTTGTTGCTGTCTGTCCCATTTAGTCTCTTTCTCCCAATGTATCACAGAAGCATTGGGAAAGGGCCATGATAGCAGCATAAAAATGAAATGAATAAATCCATACATGATGGAGCTGGGCTTGCCGGGACGCAGCGCCGGCGCTTTTTATTAGCCAGAGCACTGACATCATTGTGGTGAATTGCTCGGAGACTTCCAGCGATCGGGCAGCAGAGAAATGCAAGAAGCAAATCTGCTGCCCCTTCATAATTCTCTGTTCTGTTGGATTGTAGCCACAATCGTCACAGCAGCTGTGCAGAAGGGAATTTTCCTGGCAATAGTATATTAATCAGGGTGGCAATGCAAAACGTTCTGCACGGGCTTGGTGCTCAGTTACGGAAGGCTCGCCCCACCGAGTTCTGTCTAGCACCATCATTGTCATCTTTTCAGTGTCAGGTTAAAACTGCCCTCAGTTTGCAAACATTTCTTGGCAGAGAATGGGTTACATCAGCTATTTCAATCAGTTCCCCTTCTTTTGTAATTGCTTTATATGTTTAAACTCTTCTGCATTTTATTGTCAAATATATATATCCAAATACATTGGAATTTTAAACTGTGTTCGATTTCCATACTGGAATTTTATACTGCGTTTGTATCTCTTTTTTGCATTTTGAGAAATTGCCGTGGGCTATCCAGAGAGCTTTGTCTATTGGAGGATAAAGCAATGAAATGCAATGGCAATTAGGACCCCTTAGCTTTGCAAAAACCCTGCTCAAAGTGGAAGGAAACTGGACGGATTGTTGGTACGCCTTGTCACTGCCTGCAGTTCTGGGCTCTTCCTGGGCTCGTGGCTGTGGAGGGCATCACTATGAGTGCCTGAACTTCAGACTTCATTGCTGCTGCCAGTCAGAGAGGCAGGACGCCTGTGCTCTCTAATCAGGAAGAGCTCGTTAGAGCATTTGTTGGAGACAGCAGCAGGCTCCCGGCAGGTGGAGAGTGAGTAAATGAAGACAAGGTCCAGCAGCCCTAAGCTGGCTGGCTGGGATCAGGTGCAGAGGAGAAGGTGGTCCCATCACCTGTGTTGATGTCAACCACCTTCCTTTTCCAAAGGAACTGGAGACTCAAGGAAGTGTTGAAAAGCTGGAGGGCAACAAGGACTGTCAGCTTGGTACATAAAATCAGGAGGGCTGCTTTGCTAAGCGGGTGATATTGTACCCACCCACTCTTGGTACACCTGCTTGCCCTCCTTTTTCTGCTTTGCCGGTACTGTTCAGCGGCAGGTGGTCACGTGGCCCCTGGCAACTGTGCAAAGTTAGCCTATATGGAGTCTCGTCTTGCCAAACCTCCATTTCACCGTTCCCTTTAGCAGCTGAAACAGATTAGGAAATTGACCAGACAAGAGGTCACGTATCAGGTAGCCATAAATGGATGGTGGTGGAAGGCAAGCTTTTTAAAAAAGTGAACAGAGCGCAAATTTTGGGTGCCTATATACATGCACAATTCCAAGTGTGCCTTTGGACGGGATCCAAAAATGCATGCACGAAAAGCAGAGAATGAAAGGGGGAATGATTCGAGTGGGACGAGGGAGACAAGATGGCTTCTGCTGCAAAAGACACTGGGGTACCAGCTGGAGAAGTGACGGGAAAGGATGTGGGGGAACAAGCCATGGCAAGCCCAATTGTCTGTTGGGTCTGCCATAGTTGGTTAAGCGAGCAACAAGGCTTGGCATGACAGCCTTACGCCCCCATAGACTGAGTATGGGTCGAGGGTGGGTTGTAGGTAGTTGCTGAAACATGGGTTACTGTGATGTCTGAACACTGCCAAGGTAACAAACCATGGTGTACAACACATAGTTCACAACTCAACATCAAAGCATGGGTTCTCTTCATGGCTTGTTTGTGCCTCACAGGCTGTTGTCTGAATTCAGTCATAGAGTCTGAGATGCTAAGAAAACAGGCCTCCGTCCCATGCCTAAAAGGTTTTCTTTCTGCAGAAACAAATGCTGTTTCCCCTCCCTGCAGAATTTTCCCTGTGGACCCTGTGAAGGGTTCAGGTTTATGTATGGGTGGAACACTTGGAACTAAGCCAGTCCTACTCTAGGCTTAAATTCTTTGCAGAATCATATCTCAAGGACACAGAAGTGGGTGAAAGGATCTGCCTGTTGGACTGGATGAACGATTATTGTCTGGCAGGTTTTATAAAGCAGCACAGGGCCAGTCTCCAAAGATACACCCAAGTATAAGATACTATTTTCATTTTTGGGGAGTGAAGTCAGAAACACTTTCGGCCAATGATATGACAGATTCATCTCCGGCAAGGAGTGTACACATTTCATTATGGCTTGAGGAAGGACAATTAATTGGCCACATGTGCTAAATTTTCCCCTTAACTGTGAGAAGGAAATGCTTTAAGAAAAATGGCACTTGAGAGTTTAGCTTGGTCAGATCACTGGTTGTGAAACTTGGTTTTCAGTCTGGAAAAACCTGAACCTACAACATGGAGCTAGTTTGATATTTTAGGATCTCTTTTTTATCTCCTCCTTTCTTTTTCCACTTCTTTCTTGCTCTATGGGCTTTTTTGCAAAGTTACTTGTTCCACTCCTATCCCACCCAATAGTTGAGGCCTTCAGGGAAGTTCTATGTGGTTAGACATTCATCACGTGTATCTAGCAAGGTCACACATCACAGGTGTGTCCAGCATAGATTCTGCTTTTGTGAGTTAACATTGGATAGATTTTTTAAGGAGTGTTACCTTGACCCCTGGATTCAACACACAATAAAGTTTTCTAACCAAGTCAGCTCATGTATTCCATTCTGAGAACTCAAGGAATGTAGAAGGATGTATGAACTGCTCCCATTGGCAAAAATACTTGGACAAAACACAATTCCCTCTCCTGAAGCTCAGCGTACGACCCCTCCCAGGTGCCCTCCCTGCATGAAACACGACAAAAATATCTCCAATGTATCAGGCAAGGGACACCTGAGTTCACCAAAAACCAGTGAAGTTTGAGGGCAGAAATCAAGCCATCTCCAAGCCAGGCTGCACAAAACCATGCTGACCACTGCTCTAACTCTAGGCAAGCGCTTTGGGTGATTTTTCCTGCTACTGGATTCTGTGGGCCATAGACAGAAATCAGATCCTCATTCAGCTGAAGCCTTCCACTTGGGGCTGTTAAAGAACAGGTGCCTCTTCTCTGCTGTGAGGACTCTGTTTCGTGGCTTCTCCTATGAAGCATTGTTTTCAGATGGTTAATTCTCTTTCAAACACGTCATCGCTTATTAAACTCATTAAAGGTGGTATTTGGCACTTGTGACAGCCTTCTCCAACCTGATACTGTGCTGATGCTTTGGAAGACGAATGCCATCAGTCCCAGGCAGCATGGTCAGTAGCAGGGGATGATGGAGGTTGTGCTGCAAACTTCTGAAGACTTCCAGGTTGGAGCATAGGGCACGTCTGAATGCATTTCACCATTTTCCAAATACGTCATTATACCATTGTCCAAATACTGTGTTGCTTTTGAGGAGAATAATCTTTTGTGCTTCATCTGAATTACGGATCAATCGATTGAGGATAGGATACACGTACTGCTGTGTTGGATCTGTTACAGGGCTCCAATTTAAAAACTCACTCACTCACTCATTCATGCTTTCTAAGCAAAGTTTCTCATGCTGCAAAGCTTGTCAATCAAAAGACTGAAGACGCCTGGAACGTCTGTGTGCGTGTTTCTGCTGACTGAACATTTTTCTATTGGCTCACATGAGTCTTTGTTCCAGCCAGACATCACATCATAAATGAGCCATAAAGTCCCAGGGGAACTGTAGAGAAACACTGGCCATCAGCCATAGCAGGAAGAGAGGAGAACATATTCTGGGCGGATGGCCTAGTGGGTCTTAACTTTACTATGGCATCTGGCTTCCTCAAGGTTTAGATTTTATGCACAAGGCACCAGTCCTCATGGCCATTAGGAAAAATCAGTTCAGCTCAGTCAATAATTTATTGACTGAGTTGAGCTGATTTACATCACACCTCAAGGTGGCTATGGAAATAAAAATGTTGGCCCCATGCAAACCTGTCACCTGATCAGTCGTTGCTCGAACAAACGCAACCCTTGCTTCCAGCGATGCCGCTTATTTTAAGTCAAGGCACAAAACTCTACCAACGCCCTCTCTTTCCCAGCACCCCTGTGCCACAGCCTAGGGCAACTCTCCAGCATCCCGTTGCTGCCTGCCCTTGTTTCATGAGTCCACCTTAATGCAGACTGTGGTGCAGCCACCAAGGGAACCAGAGCTGCACACTCCTGTAGTCCTCCGGTCTTCCGGTTTGCATTAAGTACAAAGAACCGAGTCCCTCCGTAAGCTTAAACCATGTCATCCCATCTCCTCTTGTGTTTCCCGTCCCAAGAATTAAGGAAACAGTTTGATTTGGAAACTGCCTGTTCCAAAGTCTCAGAGAGAGACAGAGAGAGAGACAGAGAGAGAACCAAAGTTTCAGAAAGAGAGAGAGAGAGGGAGAAAGAGAGAGAGAGAACCAAAGTTTCAGAAAGAGAGAGAGAGAGAGAGGGAGAGAGAACCAAAGTTTAAGAGAGAGAGGGGGGGGGGAACCAAAGTTTCAGAAAGAGAGAGAGAGAGAAGCTTTGGGGAGGAATAAATGAATCTGGATTTGGACTGGCTGAAATACCACGACAAGGTGGGGGAGTTGGGCTAGGACCTGAAAATGCTGCGCTCCACAAAGGGCAGCAGTCCAGGCTGCAAGCTCTGAGTTTGGGGGCAGACCAAAAGCTCCATTCCTAGAAAGAACGAGAGTGCCTGAGCGCGACTTACCATTTGTAGCCTTTGCCTTCCTTAAACTTGAGAGTGAGCACTGTTTCCAAGCCAAGCGGGAGATTAAGCAGCGCCAGCAGCCAATATTTGCGCTCCTTCTTCACCTCCGTCACTCTCCAGACCCCAATCACGGAATGCAAGAAGAAGAGCAGCCGAGTCGCCAGGGCGTTCAGCAGCACCAGTGGCTCCATCCTGCGCTGTCCGCCTCCCTGCCCCGGCGGGGACGGCGACCGACGAGCGGCCGGCCAGCCGGAGAGGCGCAGGATGCTCCGCGTCTGCACGCCGCCAGCCGAGCAGACCTTTCCTCTTGTTCCATCGCCACAAAGGGGCCCATTATAACAGAACCAAAAAAAAAAAAAAAGAGCCTGCCTCGTCCCTCCCCCAGACTTCCTGAAAACTCTCGGGGAGAAAGCGGGGGAAATCAAAACCAGACCGCCAAAGAATGAGAGTGCGGGACTTCTGCACGGACCGACTTTGGCAATGATGAGTGGCTAACGTCGCCGGAACACGCAGTCGTGGTTTCCAAACAACACAGCCAAAACTGTCTTTCCTGCAGCCTTCTTATCGGTCCCACTTTTGCCATTTCTTTCTAAGGTCAACTGCGAGATGAGCTTGTTGAGCAAGAGCGGAAAGTGTGCTGGGTTGCTTCTGAAATTACAGTTCAAGGGGTTTGTGTGTGTGTGCATTTACAAGCACAGTCCTTATTCCATAATCCCACAGAATTTAGTGGAGAACTTAGCACTTTCCCCAGTCCCATACAAACCAAGAGAGTGGGACAGCTGCCCAGCTAGACGAGTTCACAGACTCTGCCCCCCCATCAAGAATCGTGCTGGGAATAAGAGAGTCATCCTGAAACAGGCTTGATTCTTGCACAGTCTCAAATAAGCAGGTAACTCTAAACCAGAGCGCAGCATCCCTGCAGTGAACAGGGCCAGCCTGTTCCTCTTTAGAGCACTGGTAGGGAAAGTGTGGCCCTCCAGATTGCATTGGATGGCAACTCCCATCATCCCCAGCTTGCCTAGCCAATGGTTAGTTCCACAAGCCAACAACATTTTCCCGGTCCTTACTCCAGGGCCAAGGCTGTCCATCCCCACAAAGGAAGTCTTTCACATGAAGGTGTGTCGGAGTGACCCATCCACCCTTGACGCGGATGAGCTTCCAAAGCCAAAGGCTTCAGCGCATCACATGCCCAGGGAGAGGCATGGTGGTCGCTGTCTCTGCCCCCATCAGACCCCACCCCATGCATGTTATCTATCTCGGGACTGTGTCCAGCAGGAGGGAGGGGCACCAATAAGAATGGGCCTAGGGAGACAGCCCTGGCCTTCTCTCCTCCCTCTCCCCAAACTGAATCAAGGCAGGCAGCCAGGGTGGTCCTTCCCACGCCAGCTGTGAAGGGGGTGTGCTGGGAGTGAAAGGATGGTGGTCCTGGGTAATCCATCTCACGGGGCTCTGGCTGCATCCCAGGCCATGATTCAGCATCAGAATGTGAAACATCTTGCAGTGAAATTGCAGAGGATGAGCTAGGTCAAGATTCGGAGACGAGGCAGTGGAGGTGATTAGGTCACGGCCAGACGCTTCACCAAGCCAGGCAGTTTCTGGGAATGTGCAGCCAGAGGGAGGGGTCTCTGAGGATGAGGAATTCTCAGAGGCAGACCAGGGTGCCCCCGCTCTTGGCTGCGTGGTGAGGCTTCAGCAGAGGTGGCTGGCCCAGCTGAGTGAGCACTGCGTGGAAAGATGTGCTCACTCTCAGAAGGTCCCTCCCAAAGGGGTGAGGCCCAGGCATACTCATAAGGAGAGTTCCTGGAGGGAAACGCTAGACTGGGTTCAACAAACTGCTCTGTGCATGCTCAGAGATCCATTCTGGGTGATCTGTACTTGGGAGCAATAAAGACCATCTTGCCAGGAAAATGGCGTGTGGCTTTTGACTGCTCGAAGGAAGGACCTCAGCTCCTGGCAGGGTGGGCAGGGGTTTGGCCATGAAAGTCCAAGCTGCAAGTCAGGATAATCAGGTTCGGTCAGGAAAGACCCCTTTTGCCTTGATCCTCAACAGTTTTATTGAAAGATCAACCAGGACCCCTGCAGTTACTTACGACAGCATGCTCCCGGGTAGTGGTTCTCACCACCAACTACAAGTTTTAGAACATGCACAGAGTGTTTTATAGATTCTGAGTCACATGGACCCAGCATCTGGGCAGTTGATGATGAAATAAGGGGAACACAGTCAGAAGAAGGTGAGAGGTCTGCAGAAGGGGCTCAATACAGTGGCAATTGATTGGAGGATGTTAACATAACTATCACTGAGGCACAGGGAATACTGTGGGTCTTGGCATGCAAATGAGGGTGATTGCAATGCTGTTAACCTGGCTGCCTTATCAGCCCTTACTGATCAGCAAAACAATAGCCCTGGCAGCTTTCTGGGGAAGCCATGAAGTCCCACTTGTTAAAGTAACAGCAAATGCCAAACAATAACCTGGCTTGGAATTTTGGATACTTCCTGAGAAAGGGATGCAGGCATTTGATAACACAAAGGCGCATAAATAACCCTTTTCTGCCAGGATTTCTCTGAATTTTCCCAACAGCACCAAGGTTGAGGGACCTCAGTGAAGAATCCCTTTTGACCATGTTGGGAGGCCATCGAATTGCACCCTAAGTGGACTTTCCATTTTCATTCAGGACAATACAGAACATTGCCGCTTTCTCAAGTTTGAAAATGCTATCAAGAACCCATCACAGATGCTGGATTGGGACGTCCATGCTGCAGATTTTCCAAGGATTAAAATTTAATATCAAAAAACTTGTTTGAAGCCCTACAGTTTCTCTGCCATTTGTTGCTGAGTTAATAACATATGTTCCTGGAGGATTACACTCAATGATTAAGAAAATTAGGTTTGTTTGAATTTAATTTAGTTATATAAAGTCGCTACAATAATTTACAGCTTTGATATTTAATATTTAATAACCTGGTTCTTCAAAGAATCCTCACAGTAATTGTGTCATTACATATTGAAATATTATCCCCAGAACTCATTTATCTTTGCTGGTTGAGAAGAACGCTCAGCAACGCAATCGACTCAACGTGAACTATCTGATGAAGGAAACTGCCATTAGAGGTTGTGGGGGGATCATTCCCATGGCTGATCTGGGGCATGTCACAAGTCGCTTCAGACAAATTTAGTGGCAGAAACTTATTGCAATAAAGTACTGCAGCTTCCTTTTCTTCCCCTTTCATGACCTGCAATTGTGACCTTGTTTTTGGCAACGGGTAACAAAGATGCATCTTCTCCCACAGCTGCATTTTTCGTGCTTGGCTTTCTAACCTGAGTAATCCTGTCAGAATAAGTCTACGGACTTAATCATACATTTGCTTTTCCTGGAGAGAGAGACAGCAATTCTCACAAGTACCTCCACACCAGCGTTTCCATGGCTGATGATTTAGGAGCTTTGACAGGGCTTTCTGCCCGTTTCAAAGCTGCTCGATCGATTAGTTGAACGGCTGTATTTGGAGCAACATATGAAGTCTTTCTGCTTTAGAAAGTGACTGACACTAAAGTGACAAATAGTATAATAGTCTGACTGAGAAGGCAGTTTGATGTAGGAATTAGAGCCAATAGCAAACCTACAGCTGCCAACCAACCGGAAGCACAACAATCAGCAGGGGGCTTCTGTGATACTTTAGGACCAACAAATGTTAAATGCACCAAAATGTTGCAGCATATGATCCTGACCAGGGGTCTTTCCAGCCAGAGAAAGGCACAGTGAATCGAGGAAGGGAAGGCTCAACAAAACTCTCCGAGTCATAGACAGGCAGAGTTGCTCTCCCTCCAGATACACCTGCCCAACCCCTGAGACCATGGTCTGAGGTCCTTCTTTGCAAGCCCTCTTTGAAGGAGATCAGAAGCGTGGCTACCCAGAGAAGGGCCTTCTCTGTGGTGGGCCCAGCTTTGGAACCTGATGCCCAGAGAGGTGTGCCTGGGGCCAATGCTTTATGCATTTCGGTGCCAGGCCAAAACTGTTTTATTTTCCCCTGTATTTTAAAGATTGATGTTCCATTGTATCACTGTCCTGAGACTGTTGTATTGGATGCGATAGAAATGCCTTAAATAAATAAATAAGCAAGCAAGCAGCCCAAAGTATAAACCAGCAGAACAAACCAGAACAAGCTTCTAGCCCAGTGAAATCACCGTTACTATAGAAAATACTAAACCCAGGGAAAATTGGAAGGTTATTTTGCTCCACCTTAACCTCTATTTGCATTCTAATATATTCAGAGCTCTTAATTAGCTCCACACCTGAACTGACCCTTCTGTTACACCTACTAACTGCTTGCAAAATTCCAAGAACAAATTACCTCTTGACACAAAACTTTGAGAGACCCTGAATGGTGTGGTGCTATAGAAATGAAATTAGTAATGCATATTATTTATTGCAGTAATTTCTTGTCACTGGTGTTCCAGCTCTGGATACTAAAAGGTGTAGCAGGTCCCAACCATCCTTCCTCTTGCTTATCTTTAAGGGTGACATAAGAGGGTTTCTTCTGGGGGGGGGGGCAGTTTTTGCATTTTTAGTTTTGAGAGGTTTGAGGATGGTTTTTTAAAAGTGCTACAGAATCCACCCGGTGCTTTGAGATCTGTCCACTATTCCTAAAATCCCCAACAGTAAATGAAAGAATCTGCTGCAACACCTTCACATCTGGAATAAAGATAGCACCACTGACCTTTGGTTTTCTTTGCTTCTAGGAATTGAACACAGTGGCTTTTGGGTTGTTTGTTTTTATTTTAAGTAGCATTTGAGCTTTATTGTTAACAAATTTGCTAAGGTGATGCAATTCCTTTACCACTTTATGAAATGTTAGATAAATCCTTGCTAAATATATGTTGTTGTGGAGAACAGAAGGATGCAGTATTGTTAAATTCTGGGCACAAGCCAGAAACTATTACATCTCTCGGCTAAGGTCTCATTCATACACAGAAGAGACAAAGATAAACCAGATTCTGTACTGTCCGACTTCAGATGGCAGGTGAAGGTGACAGTTGAAAGCTTCTCCATACATCCACATCTCTTGGGATCTAGCATAATAGGGAGAAGGGTTCTAGCTTAGGGTAATTCTTCATGTGTGACAAGTTTTATCCATGTGATCTGAAGAGGGACCACCTAGGCACGACCTTGCTTCCTGCATGAACCAAGTCTTAAATCTGCTGGGCTTACAACATAGTCCTATCTATGAGCCTCATTGAGCTCTATGGGACATCCTTCTGTTGAGAACGGCTCAATGTGTAAACAACG